GTATTTGGAATTATTACAGCTTTATTCCAGACAACTATGTAGGTTTCATGAAAGTATACTTATAAATTTACGGGTGGTCTATGGAATGACTGTCTATATTTAGCCAAAAGTGCGTTAGCCCAGTAGGGCTATTAACTGCTTCGGTTCACTATAAACGGCGTTTAACTTTTCAAATTGTTGCTACCAAATTTTAGAGCCCTGTATTATATCTGAAGAAATTAAATAATGAAGAATCTGCATGAATGTGTTTATGTTTCTCGCACTGTGGAAAAAACAACGGCACCTAGAGACATCAAATTTTGAATAACGTAGTCCTTCACTCGGATATGGGCATCTTGAAGCCCAAACTTGGAATTTGTTTTATTACCTATTTCATATTCTGTAAAACTGTAGCGAATTTTTTATTAACAAACTCAAGGATTTCAAAGCGACCAATGGCAACACTGTACGGAGAAAAAAAACATTTCGATCTCCAACACGCAAAACTGTGTAAATTCTAAAGATATCCTCTTTTTAAATTATTTTGCGATATTGCTGTTGAATTGAATTTTATGGTTTAAGTGCGAAGAACATGATATTTCATAAATAAATGTAACACACAAAACGTTAAAAAAATCGCCCCTTTGGACGTAATATAAAATCTCAAAAAGCTTTCAGATTTTTTACTTTGTTTGGGTTTTAATTGAACGGTGAGAAGCTGTCCTCTTTAAGTAAAAGTGATATTTGTAACCACAATTCCCGTTGTTAGACAAAGAGCCGTTTTACCATTTCATGAAAAAAATAAATTAAAAACTATGTAAATGCGTAACTGACAGCCCTTAAATATCATATCTATGAGGTTCTCGGGCCCCAAACTGGAAGGTTTTCGGGCTGCGTGACGGCGCGATTTCAATAGCAATCCAAACTGATTAAAAACCATTTTATAATGCATGATTTAGGTTATTTAATTACTCATAATATGATTTGGACCCAAATATATTAATATTTAACTACTGAGCAAACCAATAACTAAATTATTAATTAAATCTTTGATTAATATTTAACTAGATACTTTAAATTTTATGTTCATTTTGTAAGTTTCTTATACTTTTATGCTGAAAAAATGCTAAGTAGAAAAGGAAAGCTTTATTTACCGCAATACTTTTAAACATAATCTACCAACAGGATAGCGGTTCATGTCTCTGACTACCGTATTAAAGGGCCCAGGTTCAAATCTCGGACAAAGCATGGATGCTGTAAATATGTCTTGGCGGCATGGGGATACTTTAAATATACAGAGAGTCAAAAGTCGTTTCGGAAGGTTGTAGTAAGGAAAGAAGAGAGGGAGATCCTCGGACCGTTCCTCTGTCGTGGTCTGTCAAACCTGGGGTGGAATTTGGGCAGAAGACATGTTGCCTGTACTGTGGAACTCAAGGCTCATGCCAAACGACAGACGCAAAAATTGCACTCTTTGCCAGGATTCATGGGTTTGCTCAGAATATGTCAGACAAATGAGATAACAACAACTTTTAAATATGATGAGAATAAAATTAATATTTAGCTCCCGTAATATTGTGCGAAATGAGATTTATTACTGTAAAGAATAAAAATTGGACAATTTTAATTTCAGTAAATTTTTTTTTAATGCTGGTAAATTCTTTCTTAGTAAAGGCTAAAAATTAAAATCCGGGAGACTGGATGATCTACCGGAAGATCGAGAGATACGATAGAAAACCGTGAGTCTCCCGGTACATCTGTTGGAATTTATGTACAAGTGTTTCTCAGGTTCCTGCTGCCTATGAATAAAAAATAAATGTTCATCAGTGTTTTACGATAGAATACGGCCCTCTCTAAGGGGATGGATGCTTTTGTGGACGACTCTCTAAGGGAAACAGGCTCATATACACGTTACGTATGGATAAATTCAAGAATACGCGCATGCAAACAGCCCGTTCGCCGGGATGGGAACCACGGGCTAAACTACCAGAGTTTAACGACTTTACCGCTCGGTCGCTGATGGCTAGTTTTACAGCATAGAAGGCAGTAATCTATTCAATATAATAAGTAAATTTATATCACACTTTTCTTGTAATTCATTATCCTGTTTCTATTCATTTAAAAAACATTTCTTGCAGTCATCACTTTTTACTTCCTTGTACGAAGTAAAAAGGAAGTATTGTAATCGCGAAAAGTTTTAGGCAGCATATTTCAACGAAAATATCCATTTTGACCGCTATCGAATGCAATTTAACGATGTTTTTGCGTGATATCTGTACGCAAGGACAGAATAAAATACTCTTTTCCTTCAAAAAAATTATAAAACTGCTTTAAAATTAATTCTGAAGAGAATTTTTCGTGGCGTCTGTACGAACGTATGTACGTACGTGCGTACGTACGTACGTACGTATCTCGCATAACTCAAGAAACGAGTAGCCTCAGAAACGTTGAAATTTTGTATATAGGACTGCTATAACATGTAGATTGTGCACATCTCGTATTTTGGTTGCAATCGGCCGCACCAAACGTACATAAATATATTTATATATATATCCACTCTATTACCCGGCTCAGTGATCTCAGTTTCTTTACTCTTATATGTTTGTAAATTGTACATTTTTTGCTTTAAATATGATTGAATTATGTTGTTTCTATCTTCCGGTTAAGGATTTTATGCCTAAGTAAATCTGTGTGCAATATTTTTAGAATTATCAGAAATTTTAAAGTTGTTTAATTGCCGCTAAGCCTGTTTTTAATGGCGGACATTGATGTTTACATTTGAAACAGGAGACTAGTGCATTTTTTGCCAATCTAGAGAAACTTAGCTTCGCAACAACAAAGATAACGTATTCATTTATTATTGCGAATTAAATCATGCTTACTCCTTTCTGGAATTTTTTCGAGGAAATAAGTGTTTAAGATTTACTTCGTAATTTTTAATATATATGTTTTGAGTTTTTATGTATTTTTGCCTTGTCGCGAAGTGAGAACTGAATTAATTGAATGAGAAATACTCAATCGTCTGCGAAAAACTGTTTCTTTTTGTTTTGTTTTGTTTTGCTTAATTTCTTTTATACATCCTTCTAGCTTTATTAAAGTATTTGAATAGAACATGTGGCAACGATTAGATAATTCTTTAAATGATATACATTTTGTGCATTCTGAGTTATAATATGAACGAAATATAATACTGTTAAGTAAACCTAGCGCCAGAGTGTCGCTATGGTAAACAAAGTGAATTTTAAAGGATGCATTTATTCTATTGAGGTTTATGCGCTGTCAGCGAAGTAAATTCAATCTAATAAGTTTAAATAAAATGCAAGAAAAATGCTTATAATTTAATATTCCGTACAAGGAAGTCATGTGGTGTACACATCAGATATTTTTCCTTCAATTTATTGATTCAGGAGATGTTCTTACCAGAGTATGCAGGGAAATTGCTATTTCTGTTACTTTGTTGTACTACTTCTGTACATTTAAGTTACTCTGCATATATTAAATTTTGATAGGGACATTTTTGAATGACTGAATTAAATAAAAGCACTTTCAAAGCATTTAACAACGTACATATTTTACGCAGACCTCATAAAGTTCCTCCACCATCCCAACCTATATTTTTCTCTATAACACAATATTTAAAAAGTCACGAAGGGCTGAAAATGAATTAGTAATTTTTGGCGCTACAGTTCTAAATTTTATCATTCTTATTTATAAAAACAGTGATTTAAAGCTCATTATTTTACATATGCATATAGTATTTTAAAACAGATACGTGTGTTTCATTTTATTATCACTGTTATAATATAGCTACATAGCTACAGTTTTATTTTTCTGTAACAAGGCGTAGGACATAGTTTTCAGGCAAAAAGTGAAGGATGAAAGTTTGAAAAGTCTTATGATAAAGAACGTAGCACGAACTGATATCAAGTAGCCCTGAAAATATGCTTTTTATAATAAAGGAAGTTAGGTGATCTTACGGAGCAATAATTTTGAATAAAGGTTCTTCCATGTAATTTGTTTTTAAGTCGGTAGTAATATCAGCAATGTCCTCAGTGAATGGTATTTTCAAGGACAGACTGTTTTCTGATTTTTACCTCGTAAACCAACCTTAATTACATAAATATATTTAGGATCGTGAGAATTAAGTTCAAATTCTGTATTTAAATTATTGAATTATTAAATAAGATGCGTGTGAATTATTAAATTAAAGAATTTTTTTGAAGAAATTGTAAGGTTTATCTTAAGTTGTTAACAGTTATCTTTTTAGTTAAAGCTACTTTTCTGTCGCTTCTAATTTCAGCTTACAAATTTCCTGCCAGAGTGTGCTTTTAGAATCGTGGTTAAATGCAAATGAAAGAAAAGCAGTACTTAAAGTCGAAGTTCCACAATGTTCTGGTTCTCTAACTTCGACTAAAAACTTCCACTTAAAGTTTTTAATCGAAGTTAGAGAACCAGAAATTCTGACTAGCGCGCTTTCGCCTTTTGGCTCTCTCTAAGCTATTACTATGCTCTGCCATATTCAGGCCCTTGATAGCTTCGCCGTTTAGTTAGCATTTAAGTGGCCAACTTCTGTAGAATTTTGATAGCTTCGGCTATATCCATTTAGTTAAGCATTAGTTTAGTTTTAATTCTTAATATTCTTGAGTTCAAGCCCAAGTGGAGGCTTTTATGTACTTCCAGAGAAAGGGCCATCTGTAAACCTTTATTTTGAGCAATAAAGGGTAATTAACTCTTCTCAAGTTTCCGTGTCTAAACTAAATAGATTATTCGTTTACCAGTTCTCAAAGTTCCGCACACTTAACTGTTAATTCTAGATAGGAACCTCATAAAATTATCAACTATATTCTAAATACTTATCTAAAGCGCTCTAGAATGTATATTAAATCTGCACTGAACATAGCTAATTTACAAATAGGTATACAGAATAGCACGCGATTTTTTTAGCCGGAAAAAATAAATAACACACTATTTTAAAACACTGCTAATGATCTATTTATTCTTTTTCCAACATGAAGTTTCGCTGCCTGATGTTAATGTCCCTTCCTTATAAATACGTCGGAAAATCCTTTAATCGACAGATGTGAAAGCTTCTTGTCTGAGTACTATCTTTAGTTTGGATCTTCATCATTTGTAATGTATCTGCATTCATATGCTCATGAAATAGATACTCCATTTCGGAAACATTAAGTTTTCCATCTTTAATTGTATGATGCCTCTTTAATAATTCAGCCTCTATAGAAAGAAATTTATCAAATAGTTTTAAAATTTACAACACCATATTAAGAATACATTAATTAGCAATTTATTTTTCTTTCCGTTAGGATAGAAAAAATATTATTCAGGATTGTAATTTGTAACCAAAATTATCAAAAGGTTTTGGTTAACTGAAAAAAAAAAAAAAAAAAAAAAAAAAAAAGGTTAAATTACTATACAGAGTTACAATTTTCAATTTTCAGGCAATGTTACAACGAACTCCTAATACGAGACAATATTTCAGTCATAAATAAAGTGAAAAATGAGGTAATTTTCTTTTAAGAGACCTGAAAGTGTTATTGTTTCCCAGCGTAAATATTTCTCAAGGATCTTCTTAAAATTACTTTCTACAACTGATTTCTATGTTTGAGATTGATATCCTTACAGCAGATAATGTCATAATTGATTTTATGACGTAAGTTTAGACTAAAAGATACGCATTAAGTTCATCTTATTTTCGTATAGTGTGTGACGTTTATATAAGGATAAGAATGCATTGTTAATATCAGACGTATTTTGAAAGCCCAAAGGATATTTTTATTACACTAGACAGTAAAAATATCTTTTATTATGCAGAAAGTCGATTTTTCTTTTGCTGCTAAGTTTCACAAAGTTTTTTAAGAAATCATTTGTTTAAAAATATTAAAATTTTTTTGATAATCTAAACTGAATTTTCATTACAATTTCTTTGTAAAATACAAAAAGCAACCTCTTTTTAAAATTTCATTCTCCCTTTATCTTAAATTCAGGAAGTATTCTGAAATTTTGAATTCAAATAGATAATAATAGTATAGAAAATATATATATATATATAAAATTAATATATAATTAATGTAATACAGAAATACATATAATAATATAATATAAATATAATAAATTAATATAGAATTAAAATATAAAGAATATATAGATATAATATATATAATAATTAATATAGAATTAAATATATATAGAATATAGAATTAAAATATAAGAATTTTATAGTTATTCGCAAAAGATGTATTTTTAAGGGCCTTTAACTGTATTAGGTGTTTTACAATTTCTTTCTGTATTTTACAATTTTGAATGCAAATGTTTTGAATATTTATGTATTTTTGCCACGAAGTGAGAACTAAAAAATTTATTGAATGAGAAACATATCTCTAATGAAATTCGAGGAAATAAATTTAAATGAAGTACAGCAAAAATATGTATAATTTAATATGCTGTACAAGAAATCATATAGTGACTACATCAGTTTTTTTTTTTTTCTCTTTAGCAGAGCCATCAAGTTCACACTCGTTTCTTGGGCTCAGAGTTCTGTTGGGGAAAACGAACCTTTACACAATGGAAGAGAAATGTGTGCCTCCATAAGAATACAGATAAAAGTCTGAGAATTTTCTGGAAAACAATCGGAAAAGAAAACATTGATTCCATCTAAGGAACGAAAACGTAAGCGAATGGAGCTAACAATGAAGGTTTTTAAAATATAAAGGTAAACGGGCTAGAGCTTAGATCATTGATCAGAAATGATGTGAGTGCCTGTTTCTATTATATTATTTTCGCCTTTATAGTTGAAGAAAAAATTTATTTTTGACCTTAAAAATTACATCCTCATATTGCATTATTTCCTGTTGTTAATTATACGTTTCTTGCTTTATTGCTTGTTTCCAAGCACTTTCCTTAGATAAACTTAAGCTTAATTTTAGGAAATTGGGGTTCTATTTCTTTACAATTCCATTCTTTCTTGTTGGATAAGGTTCCGTCTTTTCTCTTCCATTAAATTTTTCCTATTATGGTAGATGTAAGCATCCACATTAGGTAGTCCAGGAATCACGCAGGCTGCCAAAGCGGATCGAGGAGCAATCATACCTGTGGCATCATACCACAGGTTCTTGCTCTCGTCGAAACATTCTACTTGGAAGGTGGCTGTCAGCCCATTGAAACCGCCGATGACAAAAATCATATCGTCGATCACCTGAAAAACAGGATCGAATAGTATCAGAATATGAATTTGATGAACTAGGTTTTGCAATAGAATTAATGGAGAATGTTGTTTGGACATTCAAAAAATTTGTAATATGTAATTAGCTTTTTTTTCAACTATTCTTACAACCATTATCCGATCAGATAACGGCCATAGGAAATGTTCATTAGTTACAGAAATATGTTTAGAATCTTAAATGGCTACTTTAGTTTTTAATTTGATATATTCTTGGTTCATATTACCACAGCTCCTTCCACCTACCATGCATAACGGTTTTCTCCATGCGATCTCCATCATCAGTGTTTCATTCTGACTTGGACTTAAACGATTTAGCAAATGATTTCTTCAACATTACTGTAACTCTTTTTTTTCTTAGTGCTTTCATCTCAACTGTGCTAGCAATAAGAATAATATTCTTTTTGATAACTGCTACATACAAGATCGGACAGAAGTCCTAGTGCCTGCACCATGTGACCTGATCACCTAAGTTATTTGACACATTGATTTGATGCCGTTGTAAGATTTTCTAACTTAATAAGAAATGGTTTAAGTACTTGCTAATTAAAAAGTTTCAGTAGGATTATTATTTTAAACATATTTTATTCCACGTTATATTTTTTGGTAATAAATTTATACCAATTTAGAATTTAATTTAATTACAATGTTGGTTTTTAGCCAAATCATCATCCATTTTTCTGTTATTTAAATGTCTAAGCATTTTTAATGGTTCAAAGTTTGCAGACATCTAGTCCTTTTAATTTGTATCTTTTTACAAAATTCTAGCTATAGATTTTTTTGTAAAGTTACAAAGACCAAACAAAAAGACTTTTGATTCCTTCCGAGTCCTGACACTGAATTGTAAAGTAACGTCTTACTTTTTCTTCGACTATCATTCCTAGAATTTGGACTTAGTTCAGTTAGGTTAGAAAATAACATTTCCCACCCAACTATTTAAAAATTTATAATGAAACTATCTTTATACATTCTTAATCAGCATCTTTGTCGTCGTCTGCGAAGAATGCATACAAATAAAAATAAATATTGATTTTTATGCCATCTGTCGGTAAAACTATTTAATATGTATTATTCTTCGAATTTGAAGAGCCATATCAGGTTGATATAGAGCCTGATATCAAGTAGATATCAGGATTAATTAATTCTTTAATTGGAAACGAGTTCCACTGAAAGTAAAAACTGAAACCTGTAGAACGTGTTTCTGATTCGGCTTTTATTCGGTGTTCGGCTGGAATGTATTAAAATGAAAGCTCATACATTGCTTGAGCTTGCATTTTAAAACAGTGTAACAGACACAATGACAGACAGTGTGTGTTTATTTTTAGCCAAATCGTCATTCATATTTCTGTCGTTTAAATGTCTAAGCATTTTTAACTGTTCAGAGTTTATAGGCATATATTCCTTCTAATTTATATCTTTTTATAAAATTCTATTGATAGATTTTTCTCGACATTATATGAATGACCAGCATAGGTGACGTCTATCATTTCACATGAATATACATATATCATATCACATGAATATTTTAAAACAAATTGCACGCAAAAAGTTGCCCTAAATCAAAGTTATGCATCATCTAGAAACCCCATTTTCTATATTAATCTGGAAAATTCATCTTGGTATCTCAAAACGACCAATTTTTTTCATTGATCTGTGATGACGAATGTGACCGCGAACAAATTTGCTAAATGCCATTTCTCCCATAAAAGTTTAACGAACTTTAGAATAAACCTGGTAAATAGGGGAATTAAAGGATTGAAGTAAAGGGGAAGTGAAATGAATCTTCGCTCGCTAAGAAAATGTCCATCTTCAAACTCATGTGAATTGTGAAACTCGTGTGAAAGTGATGTGTGTCAAACTGAAAACAAATGTGAATGGTGCGGGGTTCAGTAGTACATCTAATTCGTAAATGCTAAAGATGATCTTCCTAAAATCTATTTAAACAATTCTCGGCCAATCCCCCTTCAGAAACCTTCTCACCATGCAGCTCTTCATGCAATGCAAAATATTTCGTTTTCTGAAAAGCAAATTTATATTTCATAATACTTGAAACATTTCCACTAAAGATGCATTTCGGAATTTGCTTTTTTAAATAATTTTGCATTATTTGAATACAAGTTTTTCTTTAAGCTCTCTTCTGGCAATAAAATTTTTAAAAGTTATTAATAATGTTTTCATTGTTAGATATTCTATTAAACCAGCCTTCTTCGATTTATCTGGACATTTTATATATCAAAGCCCAGCATAGGCGATGTCTATCATTTCTCAGGAACATGTAGTATTTTAAAACAAAGTACACGTAAAAATTTGCTGTACAACCAAAGTTATGGTAAAACATGTTCCTAAACTTTTGCCATTTGTTTTGTTAATATTTACATTTCAGCGATTTCCTCGTATCAAAAGCTTCTGAATAACATATAAAATGTTTCTGTATACAAATTTATACAAATGTATCGTTCCGCGTGACATAAAAGTTAACTTTATTATTATTAATTTTAAGAGTAATGCCCTATTAAGATTCCAAAGTAATTTTGTTTTCAATTAAGATTTCATAAAAATGTGCATTTCCTGCTTGCATGAGTGATTTCTGAATTAGCGATTAATATTTCAAGAAATTTTGACGAATCGTGTAAATATTGTACCTGCGTTATTTTAGAAACGACAATAAAACTTCTGTTATATCAGAAGTTTAGTCCATAATTATGAAATATGATCGATTTGTTTTATTTGATACTGACATGATTTTCTAACTATGTATAATTTCATTGCATTCGCTATTTTTAAACAATTATGCATATTATAAACAAATTTTATCAGATACTTCACTTCTACTTGACGGCGAAACGACGACGGAGAAAAATCATAGATTCCTTCAATAAGGGAAATTAACTCATCTAATTCGATACATGAGAAATGAAAATCTCAAAAAGTAGAAATAGTTTTAAAAATTATTTACAAACTCCATTGTTTTTTTTATCGTATAGGTATTATTATCAGGTGAAGCCGAAAATGCAGAAACAATCTATTCAGTTAATAGCTAAGAGGCAGTGCTAACGGGTAAGGGCCTTTTTTTAAACTTACTTTTTCCGTTTCTCTTACATCCTCACCAACATTCTAGATATAATAAATCTTTACTCGGCCATTTGACGCTTTTATAAACCTCAACGGCGAAATTGCTCCTGGGGTTTGGCATGTCAGGAATCAGAGTCCACTGTTCAATGTCTGGATCGTATTTCTCTCCACTTGTCAAACTCGATGCACCATCGCAACCACCCAAGGCGTAAATACAGCCATGGAAATTTACAGTTGTAATATTCACAGGTAGAGAGACATTGGCAGCCATTGAAACCACCCACGGGTATATATCTTTCGATTCATAGTCGTGGCACTAGCATCGCTCCGTTGAGCATTCATCGGCCTTATAAAAGTCCACTGAAATATACATTTTAATAAATAAAATTAAGACTAATATTCCTTAATTATTTAACAGTCCAAAACTTAAATTCAAATAAATGTAAGAAAGCACTACATTATAAAACAACAAGAAAAGGAAGATATCTGCCACTTTTAGGCAGAAAAACAAAAAAATTATGTATTAATTTAGTGAAGTGCCACCCAGAAGGTATAGTGGTTCGGGGAGCCTGACTGAGATACCGAAGGGCCTGCGATCGAATCCCGGAGAAGGCATGTTTGTAACTGTCCGTACCTTCATAGGAGGCGATGGTGGCCCACCTATTACGTGCCTCCATAATAAAGAGACCACCACATCTGGCCGTGTATAGATTAATGGACTGTATTACACTGCAACTGGTCACAATTTGCCACTGGGGAAAAATAGTGAAGTTGTAGAGCCAATAAGTATTTTTGGATGCACGCAAGATGAAAAATAAGCAACGCCTTCTCCGGGAATCGAACCACGGACCTCCGGAATACGCGCCCAGCGTGCAGACCATCACACCACGAAGGTATGCCAAGAAGGCGGGATAAATACCACATCGTAGTAGTAGTAGGCGGAAAACGTTCATAGGCTGTCACAATGCATTTCATAAAAAATAATTACAAAATATGGCGGATCCTAGCTTTCGAATTATACATTAAGTTTTTTTTATAGGGAGCAATTTTAGCTCTCTTTATTCTATTTAAAAACTCGTAAGCTTTCAATATGAATGCTTCTGCAAGTAATCTTAGGTTTTCTTTTTAAAGTACTACTAATCCTCTCCAACACCCTTAAACAAGCCGCTTAAAACTGCGAAACAGAAATACAGAAAATCATGCATGAGCAATTCTGTACTCTTTTCTCCACAAATAACTATGAACTCCATTATTATTGACATTAGAAGCTTGAAAAGATTAGGTTTTCTCTTTTGTTTTAGGTTATACTACATTACAAAATCAACCACAAATGTAATTATCTGCTCTGCCTCGTAAATTAAGAATTCTCGGTGTTCCCAGTATCTGAGCAACAAATATTAAACTACTAGTCTTTCGCTGCAAACTGAAAATTTTAATATTACCAGTAGGAGATCTTTAATTTATATTCGAAATTTTGGAAGCTCATTGCATATGCATGAAATACGCAAACAAAAAGGCCCAGTTTGTAAATGATACTCGCTGTTATTCCATTTGAAAACAGTATTTATTTTATCGTCTAATAGTACATCTGTTTAGATAATTTCAAATCTAACTTAACTATAACCTTTATGAATTATGGACAAAAATAATGCAATTAATAAAAGTCGTTTATAATGCCGTTTGTTAAATAATAGGATACAGAATAACAGTTTATTAACAGCCTTAGCTGACAAGTTTGCTACACTTTGTTGTTTTATATTAGAAACTTCAGTGCCTTAATGTGGGTTGTTCATCTGCTTAAACTAATATTGTAAATTAACATTTTGTTTCAAATGCTTAAAGTAAACTATAAGTATCATTAAGATGTATAATGAATGGGTGGTTTTCAAGAGCATTAGCTTAGTACTTTTCGTGATACAAGGGTTTTCATCATAAAATTTCCGGAGATATTGCTTTCCATTCCTCTCTAATTGATTTTTAGAATCCATCATTAGTGGTCAAGTTGCCTTTAGAAAGCTAGCTTTCTTACAGAGAAAAATTTACGCTACTCCGTGAATGAAATGTCAATTGACTTCGCAAAATATCCTGAAAAGTTACACATGCAGTCTGTAGGAATCTTAATTTTTTCAAGAAACGTATTGGAAACTTTCGAAGCATGAAGGAATTATTTCTCTAAAGTTAACTAACAAAATTCATCTGATTTGGTCAATGTAGAGTTGTCTTCAAAGTCGGAAATGAACTCCTCAACATTATAATCATTATTCCTTCTAAACTGTCTTATATCGTATTTCCAACGCCCACAAGCCACCGAGCAGTAAAGTCGCTAAACACTGGTAGTTCGGCCCAGCATTCGAATCCTGGTGAATGGGCTGACTGCTTGAGCGTTTTCATGGTTTTTCCCATGTGTAACATATATAGGAACCAATTTTCCTTAGAAATTCCTCAACGATGGCATCCCCCCTAGGCAGATAGCCCTCGTGCGCTTTGCTATAATCAAGAGTTTTAGTAAGTTAACAGAACAGATATATGCGCATAAAAATAGATCTTCGTCTTTTATTTATACTAAACTACATTAATTAATCTTTATGTATTTATGACAATATAAATTGCAACTATATCATGAATGTATACTTCATGTATATATATAAATATGCTTATAAATTTTATATGCATATAAAAGGCAAGAGCAAAATATGGCAGTATTAATGCAAATAACACACAAATTTTAAAATGATATTTAAACTTAAATTCATTTTGTTTACATAGGTTTTGAAAAGTATTTCTGGTAGTACATCTAAAAATCAAACTTCAGGGTAAACGAAATTCAAATTATGTAGGTCATCTAGTCACTTTCTTTATGTTTCCACCATCTTAGTGACATATATTTTGCTGGGTACTTCCTGTAACTTGTAGACAGGTACAGGTGAAAGTAGTGGAACATGGAAATTTCACTGTTAGTCGTATAGGTATAGTTCTACCTTAATGACACCAGAGGCCGAGTGGTAAAATTGTTGAACACAGATAGTTCGACCTGTGTTCGATTAATCACTATGTTCGATCTCAGGCAAACGGGCTGGCTTCATAGGCGTTTGCGTAGGTTTCTCCCTGTGTAACGTGGATATGAACCAGTTTCTCTTAGAAAGTCCTACACGAACGCATCCTTCCCCTTAGGCACATAGCCTTCACCGCAATCAAATAAACCAAAGCAACCAAACCTACCAGAATGTGTAGCTCTACCCCAGTTTTGATGAAGATTAACTCAAAGGACGGTTCGAGAGTCTTTCAACCCTCTTTCCTTATCCAAAAAACACTTGAGAAGACTTTTGAATTGGCAGCATTTTATATGCCCCACACTTCATAGACATTCTACACTTATAAATATTCATGCTTTATACAGAATTCGATACAAGGTGCAACGATACGACAGCCATGGTCGCTAATCTCTGCGTCCATCAGTCCTCCGCGAAGGAATCTTCTTCTTAGGCATATAGCTCTTGGGTGCTTTGCCATAATTAAATAAATCAAATGATCAGAACTGCAGGGTAAGAAGAATGTTAAAAACAGAGCCTTTAAAATTCCGCGCATAGTCATCGTTTGTGAGAAGCACACTGCAACTCAACTCTTCTCTAACTTCAACGCACTTTGAACGGCGGATAAATAGATAGATGTATTCCATGACATGCTAACGACGTATTCTTGAGACTGTATAATTTGAATTGTAATTTTAATATTGTTTTTAAATATATTCTAGTGTTAGTCTAACCGTGTGGTCATTTAATTACGTTGTCATTGTTTGAATGCTGAATCAACATCGAAGGAGATACAGTCACCACCCGGGAAGAAATAGGTAGGCAGAATTTTGATATTTCATTTGAAATAAAACTTTTAAAGAAACTAAAAAATTATTAAGTTAATTTTTTAACAAAGGACATAACCAGAATGGTAGATTTGTTTCTAGTGGTTTCTAGGGTAGTATCATTAATAAACGATTTCCAGTTCATGAATTGTTTGTTCCTACACGAAATCTTTTACTTCTATTTTGATTATCCTGTTAAAGGAAGTTTTCATCACTAGCGGTGAAATTTCCGAGCAGCAGATCTCGTTACTACTTTTATTAGCAAGTTTTACTGATAGAAAAACTTTCAAGGGATGTTAAATTGAAATAGATTCAGCAGAGAAAATATAAAATTTCGAACCAATAAAAGCCTTTTATATACTAAATTTAAAGGGATTATAACACACCTATTCTACCTCCTAGAAGAACTTAACTCTGAAGATGATTCTCATTTCTCATTAGTCCTGAATTCTAATTAAATTTAACTAAGTGAATCAGAGGCTAATCAGAGATGAATAAAAGTTTCTCCGGAATATTAGATGCAGCTTTTAAAGTTAGGAATTAGTTCGACAAAAAGACATGGAAGTCAGCAAATGTCTCTTTTTGAGACACGGTTGTTCAACTGAATTTCGGATAGATAGTTAAATTGGACAGCATTTGATAAGCAAACAGTCAGTCAATAATGCTGGCTATGCTTTCTAAACAGAAAAGTATATTTATTTGCATTTTCCTCTGAGAAAGGCAGGGCAGAGTCGGTAAGGAATAACAGTGTGCACTTAAAACTCACAATGAATAAATTTTGAATTTTATCACATATATTTCAATATTATTAATTACGTTTTAAAACAAAGTAAAGATACAAAGCAAAGACATTCCTATCACTTGAAAGAATCATATAAGAAACAAAAAATATTTTTGGAGAAAATTTTAGCTGATTGTTGCGATGATCATACATTCCACTGTGTTTTCTCTGTGATATCCATTAAACCCTCCCATTGCATAAATAAGATTATCAAGAGTTGCAACGCTCACGTAGCTCCTGAAAATAAGGAGTTACTTTGTCGTATCTTTTATGGTTAGATAATTAAAATTTTTCATTTGAAATATTCTGGACTCAATTTCAAATGTTAAAAGTTTCGATTAATTTACTCAAAGACTTTTATTATTAAACTCTAAAGCAGGTACTGGTAGACTGAGAGGATTAAGATTTTCATTTTAGAATTGAAATATACGATGAAAATAATTTTAAATAATATATTTTACTTTATTTTAGAATTTGAAATAACTTTTAACAATAAAGATATATTGTTACAAGAATATATAAGGTGGCAAATTTTTCAGCAATTATTTTATCATTCATAGGACTTAATGGCAAGATTTAAGCTATACTGTAGAAATAATAAAACTGATCAAATAAGTATTAATTCTAATTAAAGTTTGAAATAGTTCATTTACTTTAACTGGACGTAGCTTAAATCAAAGCAAAACAAGCAATTAACGTTTCCTATAGTATTTTTATATCGAT